GGGGGGGGGGGGGGGGTGTAGATACTTTTTTTTTTCTTAGATTAGTGAGCCTGTGTGTAAGCCGATCCCTTATTTTCATCTTAAAAAATTTTTCCAAGAAAATCTCTGGCTTATACTCGAAAATAAACGATATATATATGATTTGAACATTTATATATTAGTGCTGAAAATTATGTATTGTAAGTTATTATGAGTAACCATAAAACAAATTACTAGTTACTTTCAATCTTTATATTCGACATTGATAATATTTATAAGAGCATATTTTACTGATGGATTAACATCGATATGGGCTCTTATCCCAACTAAAATCCATTAAAATATCAAATTTCTCTGAAGATTGTGTATTCTGTGTTTCGGGCTAAAATATGAAAATAATTATGTTTCAAAGAAAACAAAAATAGTCTTTTGATGGATTACTACGAGTATTTTTAAAATGTTTCCTTTTTATAAACTAAGAGTATTTGCAAAGGTATTTTTTCTATCATAAAATTTTATAAAATCCCTAAGTAAATAGTTCTATTTTTAGCACCTATAGATGATTTATATTAATTTAATTATGCAGCATATTCCTAGAGAGAAAATGAAACAAATTTTTTTCAAGTCTATTCTGTATAGTTTGCTCATACGACGCGTCTAAACAAAACAAGTAATATAAAAAAAAATTTAAGTTAATTCCTATTAAGTCAACAAAGAAAATTTTTATTTTAGTTACTTTTTATTCAATAGTTATAATTAATATAAATATGTATATATATATATGACAGAATCACAATATTAAGTGACAAAATAGAAAGCGATTTTCCATTTTCCTTTCTATATATAAGTGTTGGACCATTTTTTATTCGTTTGTATAACGATGTAATCATGAATTAAATTTATTTATGTTCTAATAAAATAGTATTGAAAAAAAGAAATCACATTCTCAGAAATTAGACTATCTCAGGTGGGATTCGAACCCATGACTTTTAGATTGGCAGTCTAACGAGGTACCCATTGCGCTACAGGGACACAACTAACGGCTTTCCTTTCTATATATGCTGTTGGACTATTATTTTTGTTTGTTACTATTTATTCATTTTGTAATTTAATTAATTAATTAAAATATTTGAAAAACTGCATTAACATCAAGTGTCATCCATTACGAGTTTTAAAAAATGTATTTGAACTTGAATGGATGAATAGAAAGTATTTTATCATCGATTGAAAATTTGAACAAGATATATATATAGGGAGAGAGCACTGGCGTCGCAAGCTCTAAGGGGTCCCGTATCAAAATTCCTTCGGGCCCTTTTTTAGATATGGAAGCTCTGTTAGTAGGACTGTAGTAACACATATTGAGGCCCCCTGTAGCTTGGGGGCCCTGTATCATTGATACAGCTGATACGGTGGCAGCTACGCCCCTGGGAGAGAGTGAACTAATAGTAGGAATTGAAAAATTTGTTGTTTATCAGTATCAGTTTGTGTGACACGATTATTGTTTAATTAATTGCATTGTTATCATTCAGACAAAAACAAAACTGCATAAATTATCATGAAGGATTCGAATATTCTACAAAACGACGATATATAAAACCAGGGCTTCGAACCGTAATTTTGTTCGTTCCGGATCAACTAAATAAAAATATATCGGTTCAGTTCCGGCTTTGGTTACAACAAAAATAACGATTTTTGGTTCAGTTCCGAGTGAATAATTTTATTTTATGTATATTCTTATCTTAAATCATTTATACTAATCCCTCCTTGCGCACGCCATCGCTTATAAATGTAAAAACTGTACAAACAATTGCATAAAAAAAATGAACTGTTTTAGTCTAAATTAAATAAAAATAAAACAAGTTTACCTTCGTTTTATAATGCAAATTTAAACGTACTTACAATAAGGAATTGAAATGTATTGAATAAACACACATGAAAAGTTATAACAAACCCGTAAATATAGCGACGTATTTAATTATTACTTTAATTATTATTTTTGTTTTATTTTTACTTGGAATGAAGTCATTAAGGTAAATTTATTAATTTTAATGAAATTCTTTTGAGAAAAACTTGAAAAACTCTCTCTGATTATCGTTATTTTAAATTTATAATTTTTCCAATTGATAAAAATTTAAAAAGAGGTAACATAGCTTATATATATGTATATATATATATATATATATATATATATATATATATATATATAT